CACCTACTATTCGACAAGCATGTGCCAACATGCCCCCACTGCAAGAAGAATGGATACGTTGATGTCATGAAGACTCGCTGGATCAACAACCCAAAAGTGATGTATGGGATCAATCGTCACCGCTACCTCGACACTGTCCTGTATCCGTGCAATCTCTGCGGCAGAAGGTTTGCGGGCTATAATAAAGAGAGCATGAAGTTGGATTCAAGTGTTTACGGCTCCAGCTTCAACTTTTATTGGGCCATGGGTACGCTGTTGATGATGATTTGTACAGCCTCATTGTGCTGGAGGCCGCCACAGAATCTACTGCCAGCATTGCACGAAGGCTGAAGCGTCATGCCTACAGTGCATACTACGATGATTTCCAGTTGTACCTGTCAGCAGTGGGTAGAGACAAGATTGACTGCCGCCCCAAGAAGAAGGCGAAAACTATGGATGATTATGTAGTTACGCAAAGTGATGATCAGCTGAGAAGTCTCCAGTCAGCCAAGAACGTCAAAGAAAACAATGCCACACACCTCAGACTTCTCCTTTCCTCAGCCAGGGGCAAATCAAATGGAGACGTTGAATTCAAAACCATGCTGAGCGACAAGGACAATAGGAATCATTTCGGAGCAAACAAGAACATTCTCCCTGGACTTGGTGGCACCAAACTGAGGCAGTTGATTGGTCTTGGGGTTAAATCAATGAAAGAATTACTGGACGTTGATCCAGATGATCACCCAAGTCGGACCAGCAAGAAAATCAAGAAGTGGCAGGAAAAAGTGCGAGTGTACTATTCCAATCACCAAGTGCGAGTGGAACAGCTGGAGGAGGAACTCATCGGCGCTGAGCTTCAACTGGAGGAAGCCACAAATGCAGTGGGCGCATACATTGAACAGAATGGATTGCCGAGTGATGATAATGAGGAAGCAGTTCCAGGAGGGGAAGCAGGAGATAACAGACCACCGCTCTTTTCCAAATTCAAGGACAGAAAGGGATATGATGGTCGGTACATCTCCAAGTACATGATTGACAGTCTGGTAACCACAGTATTCCAACACCGAAAGGAATACCAAGAGAGCAAGATGAAGGGGTTGACAGCGGAGATCATCAAGATTGACTTCAATTACAAGTTGGCTTCCAAGATTAGAGTGTGGACTGGTCAGGGAAAGAGCTTTTGTCCCTACAGATGCATTGTAACCATTCAAAATGAGGATGGACTTACAATCTTCTGGAAGGCGCTGAAGCACTCAGAGTCATTCAGTGAGATCGAACCAGACTTGCTTCGCCTCAACAACAGGTTGAAAAGGAACAAGAAAGCAAAAGAAACCACCAGGAGGAAAGAAATGGCCCGGGATCTTGTGCCGGAAGGTGCAGAAATACCAGCAGTGGATGAAGTTCCTCTCACCGACGCCGTCAAAGTGATATATGTTGACAACTGCTGTCAGGTTCATGTTACACTTAAGCGCATCTTTGGAGCAGAGGCAAAGATCTTGCTGGATGTGTTTCACTGGCAGAAGAGGTGGAACCAATGCCTTAGAGATCCGAATTCAGCCCAAGGAGGAATCTTCCGGGGATTGCTGAGCCGCGCCATTTTCCTTGTTGAGCCATCGGAATATGATCGAGCCAAGTCTCATTTGGAGCAGAAGAAGAAGAGAGAGCCCACTCACAAGGAAGTGTTGAAGGAAGCCAATGCTGTTATTCCTCCTCCAGATCAACTGAGAAAAAACGTGGAGGCAGTTCTGGAGTATATTCGAGGCAAGGATGCTGAAACCGAAATGGCACTGTCCACAGCTCCTACCACCGGCGACAATGACCAACCACCAACAGCCAAGCTTTTCTTGAAGAATGACAGAGTGACTCGAGACAAAATCAAGCAACTGTTTACCTATATCGACAAGGGATGCTTGTCGGATCCGACGGGAGTTAGCATCTTTCGAACCAATCCTTCCACAGGTGTCACTTTTGTTTCAAGGGGAACCAACACAAACGAAAGAGATAACCTGGACCTTGCCTACAAAATCCTGACTGCAACTCATATTGGTAAGCCTCATGTTTCCTGTTAAACAAATTGTTTCTTCATTTGGCCACTGACTACCTTGCTTGTTCCATTACACAGGTATCCATCGTGGTGATCGATTGATGACCTGTTTCTTTGAAGAGCGGAACCAACAGAAGGCCATTATCCGTCTTGGTGAAGAGGATTATGGGATCGTTGACACTGAAAGGCTTCTTCTCTTGAATTCAATTGCCAAAAAGGTTGGTTACAAGGAAGGTGAATTGCCATTTAAAGGGATTTCAGCTCCAACAGTTGTCGACTCAGCGGAACAAGAATTCATGGGCTTTTCTTACAAGGTAGCTGAATCTCACGATGTGTCCAATCCAACCACCGGTGGTACCAACTACAACAGTGGAGATGAGGAGGATGAGCCAGTGAGGAACTCCACTTCCGACGACGACGATGTACCAGTCACAGTTGACGTTTCGGATGAGCCAAACGAAGCTACTGAAAATGACATGGAGCAACACTTAGAGGAGATCTTGCAGACTGAGGCCGTTCAACACAATGACGCTTTAAATCGGCAGTTGATCCAAGATGAGTTGGCGAAGCTCTTGCCGGATAGCAATGGTCGTGAATCCACACTGGAAGCCTTCAGCAAACTTACTCACAAACAGCCTTGGATCCCTTTTCGCTCTCCTGCTTCCACCACTGCTGCAACTGATTTAGACAGAGAGGAGGAAAGGTTGTTTAATGAGGAGCATGGCAACTATAATCTCCAAGGAAGAGGCAAGCCAAATTACAAGGCCTTTGAGCGAAACTGGAACAATGAGGTAGCTCACCGCTTCCGCGAATGGAGTAAAGGTGATGACACAGTCATCCAGATCAACAGAAAGAGTCGCCAACAGCTTGAAACATTCCTCCGGCAAACAAGAGAGTTCAGAACTCTTCAAGCCACAGCAACGGGCGCCAATGATCCAAGTCGGCAACAACTGAATCGACAGCTTAGAGAGACAAGAAATGCACTGCCAACCAATCCAGTTGCACACAGAACTGAGCCTCCCAACTATGTTCAGCATGAGGGAGGACGCACACCTATTGGCAATCCCACTACACTGAATACAACCATTACAATTGGAAGGATTGCTGCAGTCCAACAGCAAGTACTGCGCCAGAACAGGAATGTGGCCCCTTATGGTATTGCTGAGCCAGTGGCGGCACCAACTGGCCCACCTCTCAGGCCACCAAGAAGAGTATTCAGGAGCAGAAGATTCTGCATCACTTGTGGGCACAAGAGAAGAGACCACCATGAAGATGAGGGTGTTGCCAATACCTGCACAAGGAACTATTGTGGCAACTGCTGGCAGCTCAAGGACTACCACGGTCCTGGTGATGGCTTTGGTCCTACTTGCAGTAAACCAACCCACAAGAACAGCACTGAAAGGGACAATTGGTTTGACATCAAGGTATGTTACTGGTGTTACTGTTGACTATACTTGGATAACAAACAACAACAATCTTACAGCTGTTGCTTCCTTTCTTTTCAGACATGAGACATTTTCAGGGCATTGAGTATGCATAGACTCCATTGTGGGCAGTGAGAGAGGCCCTGTGGATAATGTACTGCTGGCTACTGATCACCATCCCACTGAAGTTGTGTTTGTGCTTGCTCCAGCACACAGTATCAAACCAATGACTCCATTCTGTAAGTAAGAACTCTTTGGCTTCCCACTCCCATACTCCAAACTGATTATAGAGTGCATCTCTCATAAGTGGCCTAACTATCATTCCACACAACTCTTTCTTTGTCACAGGGTCTCCCTCCTCCACTGTCAAAGCAAGCAGAGCAAGGACATCACTGTACCACTCAGCGCTCTGCCTCACTCCCCATCCAGTCATGGTCTCCAGAATCCAGGTCATATCAGGTGTCATGGGCACAGCCTTTTCTTCCATTATGAGTTGCTCAATCATGACACTGGGAAGGTACTTTACCTTTAGCACAAAGTACTGGCTGTACCTGTTTGCCCTGTCAGTTTCATCTACCAACAAAACATACTTGAGTTCAAAACTCTGCCTGGTCTTCCGAATCTCATTGAATGGGTAGCGACTGTTAACATCTAGCCACCGTTTAAAAGCAACACTAGCAGTATGTAGCATGATGAGTTACTAGCTTTGCTGTAGTTGACTGTGTGGGAGTAGGAATCCAATGACTTGACGACGTTCGATTTCGCGAACCTCTACGGAGATTGGAACGTCTTCGAAAATGTGAGCAAGAGATAAATGAGGGCTTCAACATACTGCGCACCTCCTCGAATAACTCTTTGATCGTTCCACAAGACTCCAACTGTTTAAGTGACATTTTTTGAATTCAGCACTGTGTTGGTTACTGTAGAGTTTGGCGAATCTTGTGTGGAAATATTGTACTATAGTTAGCCTGTAACCGCAGTTTTTCCATACCGTCACGAGTGTGCAATCACAGTAAAGGCTTACAGTACAAGGTCTTCTGTCGGTGTCCGGTGGAAAAGTGACACTGGAAAGCCTAGAAGAACCCTATGGAACGATGAGCAGTCTTCTGCTAAAAAGATTTACCTCGTAAGTCTTTCCACTCCTACCGGTATGTAACGTGGACTTATTACGGTATGTAAGCGCAAAGGTCATCTTTCAAGAGTGGGTCGCCCGGGTTCGCTCTATTTTTGTGTCCTTGTGTCCTTCAACCACTTCGCTTTTGCTGGTCCGGAAAACGCAAACTTTCCCACCCTCTCCTCACAACAAAAAAACACAAAAGTGCACACCCAACAAGGCATTTCGTTGGTTTGGTCAATCCATCTATCTCTACTATCTAATAATAGCAGTCGACTTGATTACTAATTGGTAAGCTGGGATCGAATCGAAGGGTATGGCTCTGACTGGTTTGTTTTTATGCTGACTTTTTCGATTTTCTCGATCGGATACCTGTAGTTGCCAATCACGCTTCTTGTTAACGACTTACATTGCTACAGCTACTTGAAACAAACCAAGCATGACGAAGGAAGAGTTTGAGAAGAAGGACGATGATCTGATGAAGATTGTACAATCTCGGATCATACAACGCGACGAGGAGAAGCAGCAAGATGTTGATCTGATGGACATTGTACGGTCTCGCGCAACAAGGGACGAGAAGGTCATTCTTGAGGACATGGGGACTGGTGGGTTCGGAACCGATGACCAAACGGATCTCGAGAAGGGCGGGATCCAAAAGGGGATGATGAGTACCGGAGATACTAGTACTGCTTCCGCGTCGAACAACGCTGAGCTCGAGCAAAAACTGGATGCTGTCGAAAAAGTTCTGGCGAGCCCTACCAGTGCTAGTATCAGCCAGGAAGCAACGGCAAAGGCGTGCAATGAGAAATCTTCCAACGAGAAATCTTCCAATGAGAAATCTGCCGGTGACGTTCATCCCAAGGCTTTAGCTTCAGAACAGGAATTCCCCGCAAGTCACAACAACACTCCTGCTCCTGGGTCTCTTTCCAGACAACATAATGTGGTGTGCTCAGAACCAGGTGCCTATGCTCTTGCAACTGGGGTCGCATTTCAACCGCAGGAAGTTCGTCCAGAGCCCGACAGCAGTTCAGGTTCATCAGGTGCAAATAATAATGAAAGTCAAGCTCTCGATCTAGAAGCAAGGCCAGTGGAAGAGGACCAGGTTCTGGATTTGGTGGTTGAGGAAGTAGACCAAGCGGAGTTAGAGAGAAAACGATCTGAAATCAAAGAGAAGAGAAAGAAGGAGCTCTTGCATTACGGGTGTCTGGGATTGATTCTCTTGGCCGGTTTGATAGCCATTGTCCTTGCTGTGGCTTTGGGAAACAAGGATGACTCAACTGTTTCAGTTTCGTCCAGTGCATCTCCATCGCTTCCTCTGGCGGAAACAGACTCCCCAACTGCTGCCCCAACCGCGGCATTGGATGTGCTTCTGGAGGTCCTTCCTGACTACAGCTTGGAGAGTTTGAAGAATAGCTCGTCACCTCAATGGAAAGCATTGAGCTGGTTGCAAGAGTACCCCAATCTTACTGACATGCCCGATTGGAGAATGAAACAGCTCTTTGCTTTGGCAACATTCTACTATGCCATGGATGGAGAAATCTGGCCAGAGGATATCAAGGGGAACTGGCTACTCTATGACGAATCGGAGTGCTATTGGTTTAGCAGCCTATTTGGTTTCTTCAACGAAGATGGCATCTACGAGTTGGACGCAAATTCGATTGCGTCTACACCGTTGTCCTCAGAAGGCATCGGGCCACCCTGCAATGAGGATGACAGATTCCAGACTCTGGCTTTGCGGGGATTGGAGCTGAACTTGTCAAAGCCAGTGATCCCTCCTGAAATTGAACTCTTGACATCTCTGTCTGCTCTTTCTCTACAACAGAACAACATTAATGCTTCCATCAAGGATTTGTTACCCCCAGGAATCTTTCAACTGGGTTACATCTCATACTTTGATGTGTTTGACAACCGCTTGACAGGTGGAGTGCCCACAGAGTTTGGACTGATGACCAGTGCCAACCACTTGGACCTTGGCCTCAACGCCTTGGGAGGGAAAATTCCTAGTGAGCTTGGTGCCCTCACGAGCATGACTGAGCTCCACCTCTACGACAATGGTTTAACAGGTTCCATCCCCACAGAGTATGGCCTGATGACCAACATGGTCGAGGCGACACTTCACCGCAATACCCTAACCGGACCTTTGCCCTCAGAGCTTGGCAACATGGCTAATGTGGCACGTTTCTATCTTGATACCAATGAGTTGACCGGGTCCCTTCCATCAGAATTCGGACTCATGAATGCGATGGCTGACTTCTCCCTGGTGGACAATTCATTGTGGGGGTCACTCCCCAGTGAGATTGCTTTGATGCCCAACCTCCAGCTATTGAAACTGAACAACAACACATTTTCTGGCAGCATTCCAAGTGAGTTGCAACTCTTGGTGTCCAATGGTTCTTTAGGGCTGTTGTCGATTGAAAACAGTGGCATCACAGGGGTGGTTTCAGAGGGATTATGCGCCTTGGGCCAAAGTTTCCTTAGCTTTGACTGTGGTACCGAGCTCTGTGGATGCTGTTGGTGTCCTTGCCCTGGCGAGGTCAACACCACTGAGTGCAGCACAGATTTGAGTCTCAACCCGTTGCTTGCAAAAAATGAGTGGCCAGGACAATTCCCCTCTGCACTCAACAGCTCGAACGTGGTCACAATCAACATCTTCACGGATGGCTGGCCGTCAGAAACCTCCTGGACATGGAGTCTGCTTGATCAGTCAGGTGAATGGCAGACACTGGATTCACAGAACCCTCCGAATGCCAGCAGCCTTCACAGCCCCACAAAGGAAGTCAAATCAGATAGTCTGTACCGCCTCAGGCTATTTGACAGTTACGGAGATGGGATTTGTTGTAGCTGGGGCTTTGGATGGTTCTCCGTCACTAACTCAACTCCATCCGAAGGTCATGCTGATGGGACTGTTGTTTGGACTGCTGTTGGTGATGCATTGGACGGCGGCAGTGGTGCATTAAGTTTTATTGAGGAAGGCACATCATTGGATGTATTTCTTTGGGTTGATTTAGATGGAAATGTACAGCACGTGGAGTACCTTCCAGATCAGGGTTTTTTCTTGGCAGGCACAGAGGGGGAAGTGGCAGTGGCGGCCTACCATAATGCTAGTGGTTCTGAAATGCCCAATGAGTCAGGAGAGCCTTGATTCAACACGTCCCTCTACTCCTATGTGATTGATCATAGTTGCCAAGGTGGAGATATCTTGGTTTTCTCCAATACATGCGCGCCTGAAAGGAGATGCCCTGGGACCTTGTGTTGAACAGCTAGCTAGCTCGTGTCTCGAGGGTGAGAGACCAGGGGATTGCAACGATACTACATACTTTAGACTACTACAAACAAACTGAATCTTTTACAGGATTGGCAAAAATAGCACTTGTCTCCCAGTGTTCTGGATCAGACTTGATGTTGGGCCGACAGCGCTATGGCAGTAGCTGGGCCGAGTGTCAACAGAACATAGCGTAGGGTACCTTAACCGCAGCAAAATTGGCTTGACCGAGGTAGGTAGCGTTTTGGGTCTTGGGAAGAAGGGAAAAGGGGGCCAACCGAACTGACCAGGTTCCGCAGATCTTGCAGACTTATTCAAGACTTCCAGTATTGCTTCTGACAGCCGCTGTTGCCAAAACGTTGAGGCATTTTTCGCCCAGCATGTTTCCATCGTCAACATTGCTCCCCCCGAACACCAGTAGCCACCGGGAGCCTGAAATACATGTACCCCCTCTCAATCCCAAGGATATCTTCTCTCGCCAATGGCGCAACAGCCCAAAAGGTGATATCTGGTCGGCGCTGGAGGATTGGTTTGTTCTGAATGAGAACAAGGAATTCGCGCTGAAGGAGTCCTTGGCGGCCAAGGATCCTTTGTCAAATTGGACCATTCTGCACTTTGCCTGTGCCCACGATGCCCCTCAAAAATTGGTCCGAAAGTTGCTTGAAGCACTTCCTGGTGGCCTCTCCTTGAGAGACTCCGAGGGGCGCACTCCTTTGCATCTGGCCTGCGAGAATGGTGTCTCTATAGAACTTGCAGAGTATCTGGTATCCGAGGCAGCCAAAGGTTTTCTACTAGAAACCGTCGACGGTATGGGTCGCACTCCAATGCACACGGTTCTAGACCAAGCTCACCTCAAGGGATCCGCGGGTATGCTTGAATTGTTGTTGGGGCAGAGTTTTGAGCCGAAGAAGATAGAAGACAAAGAAGGACGCTTCCCCCTCGCTTGCCTCAAGAAATTCAAACCAGAAAATTGCTCCAAAGAAGAAATGGATAACATTGTGGCTTGTTTTGAAGCCTACATTGCGTCGGTTCAATTTCTGGAGTCAAGATCAACCCGGAAGGATCCTGACTTCTATTTCCTCGCCCTTTTGGACGAGTTGCCTTGGTGGTTGTGGGAGCGTGCCGCATCCTCTTCGACGATGCAGACCCTCGTCAATAAAGTATTCTGCTCCGGTGGTGTGACACAGTTTTTGGTGATGAGGTTCATGTCTTTGGTCATTATCTTAGCCTGTCTACCGCTGGTATGGGCAGACTACAATGAACAATTCGCTGGCTGGCTTATTCCCTACTTGCTGGTGGGGGCCTCGGCTTGCCTGCTGTTCGAGAAGGGAATTCCCATGATGACCAGGGCCGTCAAGGGGAACATATTCTGTCGACTGCAGAGGCATCCAGCGGAATTGGTTTATATTTTGCTCGGCATGTACACGTTGGTCATCTCAATATTCATGCTGACAATGACAGTAAGAGAGGGATCTCCGTTCTCAAGCGAGGAAGCAACGTTTTGGAGAGCACTAACTGTGATCTCCATTGCAATGACATCGTGGGCGCTAGTTGCGTTCTTTCGATTGGTATCTGTTGACTTCGCTCAAATTACAAACGGGGTCGTCACGACGGCCAAGAAAATCATGGCTTTTATGCTGGCTTTTACGATTGTCTTGGTAGCCTTTGCAGAGATGCTCTATATTTCCACCACTGGAACTGAAGAATGCACCCGACAATCTGACTTTTGCAATTTCTTCGATGCACTGCTGAAGGTCTATACCATGTCAGTTGGAGAAGTCAGCGAAGATGACATTCCCAAGAATGGCTTTTCCATCTTTCTCTACGTTGTATTTGTCTACGCAGTTGTCCTCTTATTGGCCAATGTGTTGGCCTTCATCATTGGGAATGATATCTGGAGTAAAGAACAAACGAGCCAGGGCTTCTGGTTGAACCGGATGAACTATCTCGCAGAAGTGGGGTCAGTATTTGCTTCGAAGAAAAGGGAAATAAATTTCTTTGGGGGCAGGTGTGAAATTGACCTTTGTTGCGAAGTCGACTGTTCGGCGGCGTCCAGCAGGACTTGGCAGAAGTTGACGTCGGTCTTTGAAGACAAGGGTCTAGGAACACTTTCGCCAATGTTTTGGCTGACAATGGTGCTGCGCTTTCTCTCGGCCATAGCGTTATCGCTGTGGGTTCTCATAGGGTTAGGTTTCTTTGGAGCGTTTTGGCCTGCCAGTGTCAGAGAATTTTTGTTTTGGGTTCCGACAAAGGAAGAGAAAGCCCAAGCAAACAAGGATGTCGCAGCCAAGAACACAACACAAAGTGTCTTGGAATTGAGCTCCATCAAGTCAGAAAGGACATGAATGCTATGGAAGAAAAGCTTTCAAATGAAATCAAGAGCATGGAAGAAAAGCTTTCGAAGGTTTTGGCCTTGTTGGAAAACCAACAGAAGACGCTACCCGCCCAAACCTAGCTAGCTGCCCGGTCGTATCCCCAGATTTGCATAGCATGCCGCTGATCGCAACATTGCCGAGCACCCATCCCTGGGCGAAGGTTTTCCCGATCTTCGCCTTTTTAAAAGAAAATCAGCTGGCTTAAAACGTTTTTGTTGCCCTTGTCGGGTCTCAGGTTCCGCCTCATGTTCGATTCTTTCTACCCTCGCAAACTGCTGGATAATCCTATTGATCTCTGAAATAAGTGAGTAAGGAGCCTCCTTCTACCGTAAGTACTGCAGTATGAGCCTTGCCTGGCAACGAGTCCTTGGTGGCATTTCTGGCTGCGCTGCCATTGGCACGAGTGCGTACGGAGCTCATGGCCTCAAGCCATCGAAAGAAGCGTACGGCAAGACGTATGAAAGTGGATCAAGATTCCATCTCCTGCATTCGATTCTCCTCGTGGCCACTCCTTCCATTTGCGGACGAAAAAACGTACGCATGGCCAATGTATCTGGAGCGCTGTTGACGGTGGGTATGGCCCTCTTTAGTGGATCCTGTTACGCCGTCGCAATTACCGAAGATAGAAGTGTTGGCAAGGCAGCACCCGTGGGCGGAATCGCTCTCATGGCGGGTTGGCTCTCATTGGCCCTCGTCAGAAGATAGTGGCTTCCACCAGAATATCATTGTTCACGGTGGGCGTGATTATTTTCTTGATAGAAATTTATTGTGCCGTCTTCCCTACTCTGGTAGCTACCGGTAGGCCACCCCTAATCAATCGTTCGCATGAGAGAGGTATACTACATGTCGATTCGATTTCGTTTCTTCGTCTCGTCGTGACGTCTTTCCCTTTCGTGATAAGCAGCTAGTATTGTTAGCAATCTTTTTATCATGTATTTCTATCTACCGGTACTGTAGTATTGGTTGGCAATGCAAACTAACTTTTCTTCGCATGGCTGGCTGGCTGGTTGTATTCACTCTACTCAATCCCTGAGAAACCAAGCGAAACAATAAAAAAATTGAGATCACAGAAGACAGCTTAGCATTCAACGACCCGGAGCAAACAAAAGTACACAGCCACTGCTTCATTCAAGCCGCAGATTCTCGTCCTGTCCGAAGATCAGACGGTAATTCCAATGTATGCATTAATCACAAGCAGCCAGCCAAGGTACAAACTCCACTTCCATCCAGTCAGTGTATTGCTTTGCTTTGACACTTACTTA